ATTGTTCTATTTGTCTCTTCTTGTGCCAGTATCCTAGTGTTTTGATTACAAGACATTGTAGTATGTGTAAATATCTAGGACAGCTTCTTTCTTTTTTCTTTTTCTTTGTTCGAATGCATTTATAATTACTATCTATGATAATTGATAATTATAACAGAATGAAGTGAACAGAGAGTGTCACATGTTAAGAGGAAGTGTGGAGAGCAAGGCTGAGACAAGGGTGAGGTGAGGGATGCACTTGCCTTAGGTGTAAAATTTAGGGGGCACCAAAGGAACTCAGTAATCAAAATAAACCACAGTTTAATGAAACATCTTAAAAAAATCAAAATTAATGCAAAAATACTAGATTAACAAAATATCAAAAGAGAAGTATTCAAAGAAAATGGAGAAAAGTAGAGAGGCAGAAAATTAGAATATGCCATCACATAAGCCAAGGAAGTAAAGAATTTCAGGGAGGAGGGAGTGCCGAGTAGTGTCGGACGTTCAATAGAGGTCGTATGAGAAAATGTGTTTGGTTTTGGAATCATTTCAAGAGCAGTTTTACACAATGTGAGCAATTCTCCTTCCTTCATTGATGTGGTCCTTCCCTGCTGGGGTTTGGGGTGAAATTCGATCCCTTTAGGGTATTCCTTGACTTCTAACTGCTGTTCACCTGCAGGACCAGGGCACACGCAGGGATGACCGCCGTCTCCCCGGGACCCAAACAGGGCAGAGAAACAGGGGATCGAGTGCAACAGCACTGAGGACAGTGGGTCTGAGCTTCAAGTCCTGAACCCAGGGATGACAGTAACTGTGTGTGTCTTGCTGCAGGTGACAAAATTCCTGAAAAGAAGAGGACGTAGGAGAGATCTGGATTTCAGCTGCCCTGCAAACTTGCAGTCATGGCTTCCCTTCTCAGTGCAAATGCTCTCCACCCCGATGGCTGACTTAATTGCTGGCCCTTCACGCTCCGTCCTTGTGTGGTTTTTCTCGTTTTGTTTTTGTTTTTTTGAGACAGATTCTTGCTCTGTCATCTTGGTTAGAGTGCAGTGGTGTCATATAGCTCCCTGCAACCTCAAACTCCTGGGCTCAAGCCATCCTCCTGCCTCAGGTTCCTGAGTAGCTGGAACTATAGGCATGCGCCACCAGGCCCGGCTAATTTTTATTTCTTTTCTTTTTTTTTGTAGAGACAGGGTCTCACTTTTGCTCAGGTTGGTCTTGAACTCCTGGGCTCAAGCAATCCTCCCATCTCAGACTCCCAGAGTGCTAGGATGACAGGCGTGAGCCACCATAGCTGGTCTCTGTCCTTATTTTTTACCTTAAATCACTCAGCCCTTAGTAAAGTTACTGACAAACAGAAGGTAATGGATAATGGATGCATGTTGATATTTTTGTAGAGCTAGTATAAAGATTACACCTTCACTGGGCTTCCCATCCTCTGGTCTTCCTTGAAAAACTCTTCACTTCCCCCTTCCTGACACCAATAAATTCTTCAATATTTCAAAGCTGAGAGAGTCTGAATTCTTCTTGCTAAAAGTCTAGGACCAGGTCACATACGACTAATTTTTTTATAAAGGTGTGGTTTTAAGCTGGGTTGTGGGTGCAGTTACTGAAGGTCCTGACCCTGCCTGGATGGAAGGTCCTGACCCTGCCTGGGCTCTCCCCTAACTACAGAGTAGGGTGGTGTGGGGAGAGGACAGTGGGGGAAATTTTACTTGGATGAAGCTTTGGTTGGATGTACCTTGAAGACCGCAGTGATTGGAGTCTTTGAGGGAGAGATTGGGTCTGTCTGGGTCAGGATTCCAGGAGGGCGTGGATTCTACTCACGACACTTGAGCTTCCCTCTCTAGGCTGGAGTGTGACCAGAGCGATTTCCCATGAAGTGTTTTTCTCACGATGAACTGACAGCCAAGAAAGAAAAAAGAAACTGCCCTCATTCATTCCAACTTATACCTGTTAGAGTCACTGCATGTGAGAGAGCGTAAATTATCATTAGCAGAGATTTGAATCAAAGGTTTGCGAAGAACAGTGTTAATCATAAAGAAAACAAATGTGTGTGTGT